AATGAAATATTAAGGATTCGGAACCGAATCAGACTTGATAGGATCTGTAAATTTTAAATATATTATACATTATAGCTCGGTTCGGGTTTACTGGGTCTATCGGGTTGGACCTGATTCATTGACAGCCCTAGTTGGAAAGGATTCCTGACTCGTGTGTAGAGTCAGGATCTACTACGACAAAAAAGAAAAAAAAATGTTCACATGGCATATGGCTAGGGGTGTCAATGGATCGGTTTTGGATTGGACTCCATATAGTCCAAAATCAATTTGGATGAATTGGACCTGATCCATCCGTAATAAAATTATATTGGATTGGGTTGGATTAAGCTAATATCTAATCCATTGATATAAGATAAGAACATAAGTGTCAATGGACCAAATTTGGATTGAAACCAATCTAAATAAAAACAAATTTGAACAAATCAAATGATCCAGACATTTAATTGGTCTGGTCTAAAATACTCATTGATTTGAATTGGACCTGGTCCATTTAAAATAGACTCACATTGGACTGGATCGGATTTCACCAAATTCAGTCCAATTGACACCCCTACATACGGCTATACATCAAAAATATTATCTGTGAATGTATGTTAAATTTATGAGGACATGATCCCATACTTTCACGGTGTGCATATATATATATTTGCAAAGGTCCTGAATGAGTGAGGTGGGAAAAGCTGAAGTTTAGTTGCAGAAAAATGACTAACTTGACTCTTAGCCTATTTAAATGAAGACCATTAGGACAAAGGTGAAATGGGTTAGCACAAGTGACATGTGGACTTTGTAAGCAGTATTCCTCAAAATGGCTTGTAGCTCTTCATTGTTAATAGTGTCAATAGAAGCATTGTGAATTTGTGATGACAATTTTCATTTTCCAGTGTTCCATATGACATCAACAAATGGTGGGGGATTATTCTTTTTTAAAAACTTGTAGGTGGGGGATTTTTCTATTTTGGTTCTTCAAAAGTCAAAAGTGTTTTTGAACTTTTTTGCTTTTCAAAGATCGTTTTGATGTACTGGAGGCTACCTTAGTTGATCATTTATCATTTTTACAATATACTATTCCTAGTTCGAATGTACCCTAAACCACTGCTACTTTTTGGGGATCAATCCTCAACTGATTATTAATTATTAATTTGAATAATTAGATCAGTCCCGATCAGACCTGATTTTAATTCACATTTATAATAATCTATGACGATAATAATTTGGAACTTCATTTTTATAATGTAATCTTAATAAAAAATGATAGTAAATAGTAAGTTGTTTATATGTTGATAAAATAAGTGTTTTTAACCGAAATTATCTTAGATCTTTCACGAAAGTTACCCTTTTAGATATACAATATAAATAACATTATAATATAATTAGGAGACCTTTTATATATTTTTAATTATGAATTATTTTTTATCTTAATCGATTTAAAATAGCAAGAACGGGTTCCAACTCTTGAGGTTGTGTCTTATTTTTCAACTGTTGGATTATTTTTAATTTAACGCTGGGTGTGCTCCCTCTTTAGGTTAAAGAGGGTTTTGCATATAAAACCTTTTTTTTTGGTACGTAGAGTCATGTTTTTGAGAGAGTGAGAGGTAGAGAGAATGTGTAAAAGTGAAAGTTTCTGTTATTTTTCTTATTCGTGTTGAGAAGAAAAGGAGAACGGGTATACAAGGGTTAAGGGTTGGTTTGGGTTGCAAGCCACAATGTACCCGTACTATTTCTCATTTTCTTTCATGGTAAACAACGGTTTTCATCTCTAAATCATTTGTGTTCTTAATGGTGCTTATTTTTATGTCTTTACTTGGATTTTGTTATTATGTTGCTATTGTATTATTCTTTATTGTTATTTTTTATATACTTTATGGTTTTGTTCTGTGAGTGATTTGTTGTGATGGCCCAACACCAACCCAATTAGGGATGGCAATTTTCCCCATCCCTGATGGGGACCTGACTTACCCGACCTGATGGGCTTGGGGATTGGAATTGGGGTCCCTTTCCTGAACCCGATTTACTATTATATTATTTATATTATATATATATATATATATATTTAAAATATTATTTATAATTTAAACTTATTTATTTATTTTAAATAAATTTACTTTATTTAAAAAATAATTTTATTTGAAATCATTTTGGGGATTCAGGTCCCCATAGGAAACCCATCTCTGTTAGGGATCGGAGATGAAGGAGAAATTTTATCCTCATTAGAATGGGATTAATTTTAGAATCAGGATCGGGGACAGGGGATTTGATCCCTGCCCCAAACCCTCCCCGTTCCCATTCCTATACCCAATTTTCAATTAGGGCACAGGCCACAGAACCATTGACAGCTCTAGTCCTACCAGCACTAACCCCACTAACTGGGTCCTGTGTGTTGCATCCTTCTCTTAATATGGGCTCACAAAGCTGGTTAGTTTTCTCCCACTTTTTGTTTACCAAAACAAATCCTCAACCAAGAAAACTCATGGAATCAAGATTTATGTAGAATGTTGGTACGTGGTATATCCAGATCAACACAAAGAAAATGGAGGCTTCTCTTTGGTTGGTTGGTCTTCTCTAAATTTTGCATTGATAACAGATCTTTTCTGCTATTTATAAGCTTTTGTTTGCCTAAAAAAGGCTATGATTCTTTTTTTAAGTCTCAATAAACCTCTACTTTTGCTGCAAAGTTGAAGAGACTACTCTATTCCTGTATAGTAACAGTCTTCCAAGCAGAATGTTTAAATGTTGGGGTTGATGCCAATAAGCTGGAAAGTGACAAGAACCTTGGCTGGACCAATAGTGACAACCAGAGAGGACCAGCTGCCTCAGAGCCTCTCCCATTAGTCATCAGTTGAAGCTTTGATTGTGATTTGCGGAATTGATCACAAGCCCATATTCCTTGATTTGTAGCAGCTTGGCAGTTTCCAGAGGAATTAATGAGCTTTTGCTCTGTTGTCCAGGACAAATTGGACCCACCCATTGTCCATAAAAGTAGATGTAGTGGTGTTTGATGGTTGGAAGATTCTGGGCTTAGCTTGCAAGTAAAGTCTCCATGCGTCTTATGCAAGAGTCGAGCTGGGATAGTAGCTCAGCTTCACTCCTGACCCTATCCACTTTTATTTTATTTTTGTCCACTTTTAATCTGATTCCTGACTTTGAATCACTCGGTTTTCCAATAGAAATTTCACGTGTACCAGTTAACTGGACGGTTTTCAGGCAGAATGGTCCGACCATCTTGGTCAACACTATTATTACCAAGGCGTGCAACTAAGCTTTCATTTAACCAATGTCCAGACCTGAAACATAAGTCTTACTCCAGGTCTATAGGGCCTGGGCCAGGCCCGGCCAGATTTTGGGCCAATATCTTTCATATAAAATATTACATATCTATAATGTTTTATATTAAATGACATAATATGCATATAAATTTATTTTATACATTATATAATATATAATATTAAATATATTATAAATTATATATGTCATGTTATAATATTTATATATAAGTATATAATCCAATGTAAAATAACATGTATATAATCTAATGTATAAGTTTAAATATATACAGACCGGGACTGAACACAAAACCCAGGCCCAAGAAACCTCAAAAAAAAAAGCCTCCACTAAAGTTCTGTGCCTGTTGGAGTCTTAGGGGATATATTATATTAATATATTAATATATTAGACTCAGAACCAGTTCTAAAATTTGCGAACCTGATGTGGAAGGCCTAGAAGTTCCGAGTCGGGATGAAATGACCACCCGCTATTCCATGTACTACTAAAAAAAACTGCAGCTACCCCCACAGCAACCCCCATTTTGTTATTGTTGGACCAAAAATGTTGGTCATTTATTTTTCCGAATGTACCCATTTTACCCTTATAGAGTTATATCCGTCACCTCAGATGCAATTTACTAAAATACCCCTAAAAGAATTTTTTACTTTTAATAAAAAGAATCACCCAATTCAGATAAAAAATGTTAATCTACTGAAGTCTTCATAAATCAAAGATAGAGGGAAGGTAACTTCATAATTTTGTGAAACCTTGGGAGAGAGAATTATGATTGTAAATTGAGAGGGAGGTTTTTATATTTTAAACTTGCTTAATATGCGTCACAGTTCAGTTGACATTCACTTGACCTTTTGGTTTATGAAAGTATTGACCCGAATCAATCAATTAAACGATTAACTAGTTATCCAGCCGAGCGTGAGCGGTTTGATTCTTCAATTCTTTTATAATATATAATAAATACAAATTCAAATATGTATACTTCACTAATCGAATTTTTCTGTTCAGACTTCAGGCTCATGTACATGAATTAAACTTGTTCATGAACAAGTTTTACTTTCGATGGCCATAATACCTTGATTTTTTTTCATTATTTTAGCGTAAATAACAAAAAAAAAATAAAACACAATCATTGAGTTGGGACAGCAAATTTGAATTCAATTGACACCCAAATGTAGGGTATATTAAGTTATTAACTGATCTTCTCTGTATTATTACTTTATCGCCACATACGACAATGAATATCATAACATATTACTTGGAAATTAACACTAATAATCTATTTGCACCGAAAATATCGGATTTAATCACGTTAGATTCAAATCCGATATCTCGATGTGGGTGCATTGATATTGAATTCAATGGGCCTGGAGTTGAGCTCACAACATAAAAAACTGTCCCAACATGGTATCTGTGTCCGCACATCCCATGATCTTACCATGAAACCGGCGAGAACGGTTTTGCAGAAGTGTATTAGAAACATATCCGTAATTGTACATTTTTTTAATGGAAAGATATTCCCAACGCACGTATGCAAAGGACTATGAGGACGGTCCTGCCAGTACCAATTCCGATTTCCAAACGGGGATTCATCATAAGACTGGGACCCAACATATAATAGCCCTATGCACACCCACATTCCACAGTCCCCAAATTTGGATTTTGGAACCCTATCTGTGTAGCCCAAGAACAAATAATACAGATTTTTTCACCATAGAGCATCCATATTTTCAATATCACACACAATGAAAGCAAAGGATTGATAGATTGAGTTCAGACATCAGAGAAAGAAAGTGAGAACACTCAGAACGAACATCCAATAAAACTATAGAGGGTCGCATTCATTAACTTACATCATCATCAGCAGACGGACAGCTCAAATACACCAGACCAGACATCACAATTAGAGACGGGGCCTTCTCAAAAACTGTAACTGCATCATCCACACCAATACAGCATCAGCTGCTGCTTTCGTGCCCTTTTTACAGTAATATGAAGGTCTTCAATTCAAAAGCTCCAACCATCATCCATCTATCAATCCAAAATGAAAATTCTTCCATAGAATAGAATCCACTTGAAAAAGTAAAATTTTCGGGCATTATCTACCATCCTACCTAAAAACGGGTCCTGCATTTGAAAACAGAAACAAAAAAATTGAATCACTCTAAGTTAATGTCAGAAAGTGATACAGAGCACAGAAAGAAAATTCATGGAAATTTACCTGCAGATGTGGGATTATCTTCTCTATGAGAGAAAGAGAGAGAAGAGAGAAGAGAGAAGAAGAACAAAAGGGTAAAAAAAATAGCATATGAGACCCTTTTTTGTAAGTTCAAAAATTCTCTCTCTTCCATTCAATAGATTCTTCGATGGACCGTCTCAGACTCCAAATAACGCCTGTATGACTCCTGCCTCTGCAGTCTGAACATCTCAATGAACGCTTCAACTCGCCGATTCAAATCGTCATGACTCATTAATACCTCCCTCCTCAGTCCCCCACTCCTCCGCGAAGAATCCGACCCAGACGAAGCGGATGACGCTGACGACGCAGTGTCATTGAACGTCTCTGACTTCCTTAGCTGCCGTCCACCAGTCGTCGTCACCGTTGATTCCGACTCTGCTCCGACCACCACTCGAGGTGGCGTGTCCCACGTGTCACTCTTTCTCAACTGTCGTGCAGTCGGATTCCGTCTGTCTGCGATCGATTTCCACGTTGCATCCAACGTGTCGTTCTCCTCCCGTTTTGCCTCGCTCCCTATACTTCTCACCTTCTTCTCCACCGTCGCCTTCACAACGCGCCCTGGATGTCCCAAAGGCTTTGACTCCGTCGCAGTGTTTCTGGCGGTTTTCAGGTAGGTCCCCGTTCTTTTTACAATGGCGGAAGAGGCCGAGGAGTTCAGCCCCGATTTCCCGTCAGAATCGGTCACACAGGACACATCCGACCAACCCCCCGGTGATGACTCACCGGATTTTTCAACAAAAACCATTCTTTTCTCGTCTGGCTCCACTTGCATTTCTTCCATTTCGTTAATCTCCAACCAAACTCCTTGCGAAGCCTTCCGCCTCTGCTTCTCCGGTCTACTCTCAGCTTCTTCACTTCCGCTCTTGTCCAAGAGCTTCTGTTGGAAGTTAGACAAAGCTGCAATGACTATGATTATAAAATTGAAAACGACAAAGAGATAAGGACGAGCCAGCCATCTCTGGAACGAGATCCATAGACGAGGGAGCGAAGAGATGAAGAGATTGACGGAGTAGGGGATCGCACGCTTCAACAAAAGAGCGGTCGAAACAATCCCAAAAAGCAGGAAGCCCAGTTTCACGGTCCAGATCGCCGTATGGAACCTGTTTTTGGCCGACGAGTAATGAAATGAGTAGGCCATTGCTTCACAAACCGAAGACCGTAAAAGAGTATTTCTGGAGTGAAACCCTAGATATTGATCAGATTCTAACACGAATAGAATTAGAAAAGAACTAGTTCTATTTCCAAGCCATTGCTTCCTTGATCCCGAACAGCATCTAAAACAGCCATTACTGAAGCAAAAACCCTAACATTTAAAAACCAGAAAAGAAATAGAGAAGAACAAAAACTACAGCTAGAGAGAGATTGTACGCAGAGAACGCTAGAAGGAAACCTGAGCCTTAAAAAGTTTCATGAGTGCAAGATCTGAAGCTTCACAAATCAACGAAAGCAGGATAGGATTTAAAGGAGATAGAACGAAAAGAAGGAGAGAGACAGAGACGAAGGGGGGTGGGGAAGAACTCTTGATCTTCTACTTGGCTATCTTTTTTTATCTGAAAATGTTACAGCTCACTCGGAAGCGGACATTAGAGATCGCTTTCAGAGACAGCGAAGCCGTGAGACCGGAACCCAGAGAGTTCAGATTCTCTGTCGTGGAGAAAAGGCGAGTTGCAGAGACGCCATTGTCGGAGATTTGAAGCTTTGTTGGTTGCAGAGCCGGCAAAAACAAAGACGGTTCGAAATCGGGGCGCCTTATGTAGGGGACACGCTTAAACCTCTTGCAGCTTTGGACGGGCATCAAGGATCCCTTACCGTCCGATGCATAGGAACAGCTTGACAGATAAGGGACAATGGATTTATTGCAATTTTAGGTGTTTACAAAAGGGTGCGTCCGCTGCCCAGTTTTATCAAAATTTGGACGTGCCGTTATCAGCCCCCTCTACAAAATTGTAAACCTAACCCTACAGTGCAATAATACATTTAATGACTACTTCACCCTTGAATTTCAAATTTAGTACAGTTAAGTCTTGTACGGTTAGGGGGCCGAGACAAAAGACTGAGTGAAATACGACAGACACCATTTTCGTCTAGAATATACATATGCCACCGTGTATATAACGAAAGCGGATTTTCTAGATTTCGAATTACATCCGATTCTTAATTACTGTGTATAATAAATTGGTGAATGTGGATTGGTTCATGATTAATTCATATAACAACACAGTTCATATTAGTTCATACTTATATTGTCATATTTTGTAGGCGTAGTGTGATCAGTCCATATCATACTTTTTAATTTTATGTATCTTATATATTTATGAATAATCTATACTAACATTTTAAAAAAATGATTTAAAAATTGAATCGTTCTGACCACCAGTTTCGAGGTTGATAGTCCGGTCGTCTGATTCAAACGGATGGCCTGTTCTAACAAACAAATTAAAAAAATAAAAAATGATAAAAAATCAGTGAATGGGTCGACAGTTTGATCGCTATGGTCAATGGGTTATTGACTTTTTCAACGGTTTTTGACCAAAAATCGAGTTTAGGATAAAATGGAACCGCTTGCCTGGACGGTTTCCGGGTAGAACGGTCCGACTTTCCGGGTCAATGGCGGTTCGAAAACCTTGATCTACACAGTTAATCATAAATATCTAATTTTTGCATTTTCTATGATAAATATATTAGAAAATGCATCAATAAATTAATATTAACAAATAAATATTAATTTTTTTATAAAAACAATAGTAAAATAAATAAAATTTCAAAAAATATATTTTACATATTTAAAATATAAGCTTATTGATAAAAAATTAAAATAAAAAAACTAAAAAATTAAGTAAAATAAATAATATTTTATTGACAAAAATATTAAAATGTGAAACAAACAATAGAGTAGCCTTTCAAGGAAAGTGTGAAGTAGAGGATAAAAAATCAAGTTTGGACAGTCCCTAACCACGAGATTTTACTGTAGATGAGAAATTGGGGTGTGAAGGGGACTTGTCCACACTATATTAGGGTATAGACAAAACCGGTCCCATCCACTCCCAGCAAAATGCAACCAAATTACAAAGTTCCAAACACTGCCTAAAGGATTTCAAAATGACCACCAACTTGGACGCGCATAAAAGATTGAGTGTTGAATTGACAGAGTATTGATACCTCGACATGCAAAAGCATAAATAAACGAGAAAAGAAGTCATATCTAATATACGGTTCTCAGTGGCTAGAGTTGCTCATGGGCCGGGCCGGGCCGGGCCGGATTTGGGTAGGGCTCTTGCCTCTTTATAAATAGAAAATGACAGCCCGAGTAAAACCCGACTGGTTAGCGGACTTAGATTTTGAATTCGAGCTCAGCCTTGCATAAACTCCAAAGCCGGATCTTGACAGATATTTTATATTATATTAATTATATATTATATATTTTATAATATTCTATATATTATAATACATAATATTTTTTGCTTATAGTTTTATTATTATATAATATATTATATATTATTAATATATGATGAATCAATTTTTTGTGAAGTATTAATTTTTCGTGCTAAGTACCTCATTATTTGGTCCGCTTCCAAGTGACCGATGACTCAGAGGCCGAAGTGAACTTTTGCTGGATGAGGACCTGGATGCCAAGTTGACCAGGCCGAGATGGGGGCAGATTAGGTGCCGATTTAACTGGGCCGAGCTGGGCAGGTTAGGTGCTGAACTGATTGAGCCGAGCTAGGCAGGTTAAGTGACGAGCTGACTGGGCCGAGCTAGGCAGGTTAGGTGATGAGCTAACCAGAGTGTCGAGCTACCTATTAGGTGCCGAGCTGCCCATTAGTTGTCGAGCTGACCAGAATGCTGAGTTGCCTATTAGGAGCCGAGCTGACTAGAGTGTCGAGCTGGATTGATTGTTGAACTTCTAGAGACCTGCGAGGAACCGATGTCAGAGGACCCAAAGTGGATAACCCGGCGAGGTCACTCCAATGCTTAAGTCATTATTCTCATAGTATACTGCGAGTTAAAAATCACAAAGTATGAGAGGTAGAATATGCTTACTTGCCCCCTATGTCATTAGGGTTGGTGTCTTTATATAGGCATTGTTTGGCGTGGGCTTCACGCACCGCATCTGAGATTTCTACGAGGTCGTCTAAGTGGTCCAAGATTCCCGAAGGTAACTGCCATGCATGTTGACCACCCTCCGGATCGTTCGGCATGTGGGCCAACTTCCAAGGATCATGGGAGTGTTAGGATATGCATGCCGAATTCGTCGGCGAGCACGTCTCGCAGGTAGCCAGGTTCGCAACTGTGCTAGGCCGCCAGGTGGGACACCGTCAACTTGGCTAAGGCAAGTTGTTGCCTAAATGGTTCTAGGTGTCACCTAGTTGTTCTGAGGTGTCATGTGTCGCAATATCATTGGAGGGCCAAATCCGCCCTCATCAATATATATTATATTTTTATTATATATAATATGATTGAGTCAAACTCAAGCTTAGGCCAAACTTAATTGGGAAAACCCGAGCTTGGCTCAAAAAATAGTTAGACCCAATGTTTAGAACTCAAACCTGTGGTCTTAAAACTTTATCCAAACCCAATTTAGAACGGATTAGGCCGGACCAGCCTGTCAGGCTATCGACCATGAACAAAGTATATCATTGGCAAACAACAATTGCTACGACAGTGTCATACTTCTATGCTGAACAATTGAAGTAACAAAATCAAAGCCTTGTTACACCCCACCTTGAATTAGATGAAGTGATGATATCTTTGGTGCTACCATAAATCCGCAATACATCAAGCACCTTGACGGTTCTAGCCTTGTTCTACGATACTATTATAGCAAAAGTGAGCTCTGTCGATGGGTATATAAGCTGCATTTAGCATTCCTTATTTTAAGGACTTATTTCTTTTTTTGCAGTAAAAAATTCAGAATTCCTAGAGGCATTTTAAGATAAGTCCTTAAATGAGGAAGTACGTCAAATGCAGCAAAAATTTATTTAAGGATAACACTTGATCACATTATACTCAATTGCTTTTGCTTTTGAGGGTCAGCCTTAAAAAATAGGGGTTTTTATAGATAATTCCGGGTAGGGGGACCAATAACAACACAAAGGGGATATTGTAGTATAGGTGGGGGTTTGGGACAATACATTCGAAATAACAATAAAACATTGGCAGGGATAATACATCATAAATTTTCCTATAAAATATTTAACTAAAGCAAATAAGAGAGTAAAGCTTCATGCATAAAGTTTGTTCTAAATACCACCTTTTGGTGTTGTTTCACCAAGGCCTCAGTCGATTTTGGGTAAGTTATTTACCTGGGTAAATCCAGTTACCTGGGTAAGTTTTTCCTGGGAAATACTTATCAGGGTACTTACATTTACCCATGTTCTTTTCTTTCTCATGTAAATAAGGCAATGGCTATTTTATTCATAAAAATCCATGATTAAAAAGGGCACTTTTGTCTCATTCAAGTGTTGGCAACTTTTCCCCTAGGTGGGAAAGTTATTTACCCACCTAGGAGATGGGTATCACTTACCTAGGAAAATAAACTTTCCATAGTCTGCACATAAATCTGAAAAAAGAACGGTGAATGGGAACCAAAATCCCATTGATCAACATTCTCCCTTGTCAAAATCCAAAAAAAGAACGCCCCCAAAGGATAGATAAAATAGCGTTGGCTATTAATGAGGGGTAATTTGATCCTTCAATGATATGATGACACATGGCATTGTAGAATAACAGAATGACACCTCGGCACCACATAAGCAAACCGTAAGAGCACTTCAGGCACTTTGTAAAATGCATTAGTAACCTCGGCACCACCCTGTTAAGCCGAACTGTGAACAGGTAGGCAAGACCTTAGGTCAGCTTAAGAGGCGACATGCTTCCACCAATCTGACATGTTTCCAGTTAGCGACCTACCTAATGTGCCGAGTGACCTCCCCCTTAAGTGGGCTATTGCCTCCGAATTCCCCGGGATCATGATGCCAAATAGGAAGAATTGGTTATGACCCCGCCTGCTTCGGGCGAGGTTGCATAGACATTACCTGCTTACACGGAGTCCATTTCTAGGCGTGAAACCACTTCCAAACCCGATGGACCGGAGATCCCGAGCATGTTTCGTGAGACTTACAGTGGCTCACCTATATAAGGGCCTAATCACTCTCACAAACTCTCTCTTGCTTTCTAACTATCAAAAAGCACTAGTTTGCTGACTTAAGCATCTGAGTGCTCGCACCAGGTAACGTAGCCTAAGTACTCTGATCTTCTCTCTTTCTTTACAGCTCGACCAAACAACCTACATAGTTCAACGCCTGAACTGTCCTCCAGCAAGAAGCTTTCAGATTGCACACCATCAACTACCGACATAAATACAAAGGGAGAAAAAGGTCTTATTATAAGACTCGTAAAAAGATGAAGGACTTTACAAGTGAAACCATCAATAAGGAGTTCATAAGAGATGAATACTATGCATTGCAATATCACATGGCCTACATATTTATTTGTTATTTTTGGGTGCAACTCAAGTGGATGGACCAAACTTAACCTTCAACCTAATCAACTTTAAAGGTGTAAACCTCGGGCTTGGTCTTGACCCGACCCAAATTTAATAAGCCTAAGTTCATCAACTTAGGCCCATCTCGAGCCTAACCCAATACAACTCAGGTTGAGCTCTAGGCTGAGTTGCGTTACTCATGCTTGGGCGAATTGGTTCGATTTAAAAGAATTTATGCTTATATTTTTTATATAAACAACTTTGATTGGGCTTTATGGCCTTTTTTTTGGTAGA